CCCCCCCCCCCCCGCGCGCCCCTCCCTCCCCGGTGCGGTGCCAGCCCTGTCACTGTTTGCCAAAGGCGTTTGTTGCTGCCCCTCCCGCTGCCAGCAGGGCTCCCAAGGGACAAAGAGGGGCACAGGAAAGGGTGCGGGTACCCAGACCTCCCTCCCCAAAGAAATCCCACGGGGATGTCAGCGCCAGCACTGCACAGCCGTGTGCTCACAGCCCGAGCGCTTGGGGGGGGCTGTGGCTGCCAACCCGGCCCCACGTTTGTCCCCATCCCAGCCCTGGGGGGGTCCCGGTGTCCCCGAGCAGTGCGAGCTGCTGGGTGGGCAGCACAGGAATCGTGCACAGCAGGGACAGCGAGTGGTGGGTGTGAGTGCCACCGCCATAGGGACCACGATGGCGTGGGGACCACGGTGCCACACCACGGGGACTGCAATGGCACGCCATGGGGGCCACCATGGCACAGGGAGCAGGGTGGCACAGCACAGTGGCACACTACTGGGACCGTGATGGCACGGGAACCATGATGGCACACCATGGGGACAGCGATATCACACACGATGGCACTGAGGAACCCCCCCCATCCCCAGCCCTCCCCACCCCATTGCCCCATCTGCCAACCCAATGCCACCCCACGTCCCTCCTGGTGACCCCACGCTGCGTTGTGGTGCTCAGGGCTCCAGCAATGGGACCAGGCCCTACTCCTCCCCACCCCCCCTGCCCCACGCTGGCTCCATATCCTGTTTACACACAGACCTGCCCCATGGGGGTGTCCCGTCCCCCCCCGGAGCACAGCAGCACCCAAAATATCACCGTGTCACCGAGGCGCAGCCCACACACACCTGCGGTTTCCCCCCATCCTTTGGGTGGCACACAGCTGGTGGGGAGGAGGGGGCTGGAGTTTGGAGGGGGTGGAAGCTGCAAACCCCCCCACGGGTGCAACCAGTCCAACCAGTCGCAGCTCCCAGCGAGCTGCAGGACGGGGGTGCGCAGCCCTTTATGTGGGAGTGGGGCGAGCGCAAACATCCCCCCACCCAAAACACCCCCAAGGACGGGCAGCCCCCCATTTCCCTGCTTCCCCCTGCACCCCACAACTTCGGGGCTTGGAGGCGACGCGGTGCCCAGAGCTCAGAGCAGAGCGGAGGGCGGAGCGCAGCCCCCCACCCTCAGAGCAGGAGGAGACCCCCTCCCTCACCCCCACGTCTCCCTGTTGGGTCGGTTCTTACCTCGCCCAGGGCTGCGGGGGGGCCATGGGCCGCGCGGTGCCCGCTGCTGCCGCAGCCCTAAGGCTGAGTCAACCCCAGCAGGGCAGGAACCTCCGCAGCCGGCGGTGCCAAAGCTGGGAGTGGAGCCAGAGGTGCGCAGCGGACGGGACTGGGCTGAACTGGGCTGAACTGGGAGGCGTCAGGTGGACGGGGAGGGGAATTCACCGAGAGCGGTTGGAGGTGGTGGAGGTGGGGGGCATCGCCGACACGATGGAGGAGCAGAGTTGAGTGGGGAGCCTCCACTGAGCCCCACCTGTGGGTTGTGCTGGGGGGGACTGGGAGGAGAGGGATGGGGAGACTGGAGTGTGGCAGCCCACTGCGCCAGCCCAAACGTGGAGCACTTTGGGGCCTGGGGGAGGTGAAGGATCGCCATCGATGGATGCACACACAGCCCCATGGATCCCATCCCATGGATCCCATCCCATGGATCCCACCCCCATGGATCCCACCCCCATGGATCCCACCCCTATAGATCCCATCCCATGGATCCACCCCACGGATCCCATCCCATGGATCCCACCCCCATGGATCCCACCCCTATAGATCCCATCCCATGGATCCCATCCCATGGATCCCACCCCCATGGATCCCATCCCATGGATCCCACCCCCATAGATCCCAACCCATGGGTCCCACCCCAGCCAGACCAGCCCCTCAAGACGCAGCCATCTGGCAGTGCTGCACCCCAGCCCCTCTTCTCACCCTGTGCCCCACTTTCCATGTTGGGGTGTGAGTGGGGGGGGGTGCAGAGCTCAACCCCACCAGCAAAGGGGGATTTATTTTTAGTGCTGTTTCTAAGGAAATGAGACTTCAGCAGCGGTCTGTCTGTGTGTCTGCGTGTCTGTTTGTGTGCTGCCCTCCCCTTCCTCTCCCCATGGGGTGCTCAGAGCTGTGCACACGTGTCCCCCCGCCCCCCCACCACCCCCCCCCCCCCCCAACCTCACTCCTTTTCCTGTGGGTACAGCAGAGATGCAGTGAGCACGGCCAGGTCTCTGCTGGGGCTCAGCAGCCCTCACTGCAGTGGATGGATGCACTGGGGTGATGAGTTTGCCAGGTCTCCAACCCGTGCTGGAGCTGAGCTCTGTTCACTGCAGTGACCACAGACAGTGCAGGCTGGGCATCCAGCACAGGAGCATCACCAGTGGGTGCTGGGCGTTGGATTCTGGGCTCTGGGTGAGATTCTGGGCTCTGGATATGGGATGCTGAGCACTTGGTATGGGATTCTGGGCTCTGGGCACTGGGTGCTGGCAGCCACCCCGCAGGCACCCAGAACAGGTTCTGCCTCATTTCTGCACCGGGTGCAGGGAGAGCGTGGGCAGAGCTGAGCCGGGTTTTGGGAGCAGATCCCAACCCCACAGCCACCCCACTGCCTCACATTCATCGTTCAGGTCTCAGTGCTCCCAGGGGGAAACGGAGGCAGGGAGCACAGAGCAGCTCATAGGTTGGACACCATGGGGACCCCCAGGAAGGGCTGGGGGGGCATGGAAGGAAACGGAGGCTTTGAAGGTGGCTGCAGAGGATGGGCATGCGGGGATGGAGCCGTGCACACCCAGGTGGGGGATCTCAGTGCATTTTTAGCTGCTGCTCTGGCCCTGAAGGGGCTCTGCTCCCCTCACGTGGGGCCATCGCGGGTGGTTTGGGGAAGGAACGGGCTGAGCTGCAGGAGCATCCTCACAGCTCGGGGCGGCTCTGCAGCTCCGCAGCTTGTGGAGGCCTGGCACAAAAGCCCTGGCACGGCAGCTGGTTCTGCCTGCACTGCAGCAAAGCCTTCCTGCTCTGCAGCAATCGGCTCCCAGCGCCAGCCCTGCTGCTCCCAAACCTCCCTGCACCGCAGGGCTGTGATTGCTGCCGCCGGCACGGGCAGCTCCGCGGGATGGAGGACGCCGTGCTCCCCCGGCGCAGCTCCTCGTGGTGCCTTCGGGTCGGAGCTGAGCTCGCCCAGGGGGCAGCGTGGCCTCTTCTGAAAGAGAAAAACCTCGGCAGCGAGAGAGGCGCATGGAGACATCCACAGAAGTTTATTTCCCCTACCATCAGGATTATGAAACCACAGAAGCAGAGTTTAAATATTTACAAAGTAATCCAGCGCCCCACAGAGATCAAGGGAACAAAGGAAGGGGAGATGGAGGGATGGTCCCTGCCGAAGAGCGGCAGCAAAGCCACGGAGCTCTGCAGCGGGGGGGGGGAGAGGAAAACTGGAAGGAAAGGGACAGAGCCAACCTTTGTGGCTGAGGGATGGGGGCGCAGCGAAGAGCAGGCAGGGAGATGGGGCACGGTGAGGGATGCACAGCCCTTGTCTGCTTGCCCCTCTGTCACCTCCCAGCCCTGGGGACACAGCAGTGGGTCTGCCTGCACTCACACGGCTTTATGTCACACCAGCAATGTGCTAAAGCAGGAAATGTGAGAGTCCAGCACCGTGCCCACATCCCAGCCTGCAGGCCACGTTCTGTCCCTTCCCTTCCATGGGCAAAGATGGCTCTGTGCGCTCGGTGAGGGCTGGGGCAGCTCTGTGGGACCTCTGCTTCATCTCAGCCCAACAGACCGCAGGGCTCTGCTGCTGCTGCTGCAGGAGAAAAGTCTCTGTTCAAAACTCAGATTTGGTACAAAAGCACTGGGAATGGCACTGGACGTTGTCAAGGATCCCAGAGCGGGGATCCCAGCCTCCCCCAGCAGCTCCTCAGCTTTGGCAATGCTCGTACAGCTTATCTCTAACGCACGGGGACGCGGCCCTGTGAGTCTCTAGGTTATTGCTACTGCATCAGATGGGTTGGTTGGCTTCAGCCCACGGCTCCTGGCACGTCCTTGGAGGGTCTCAGACTTCCATTCAGAATTGGGGCACGCTGGCACTCATCTCTCCCATCCACCTGGGGCACATCGGCCCACAGCCAGGCAGGGCAGCTCAGCAAGGCTCCACGCTTCCCTCGTCAGGTTCTCTCCGATGGAGATCTCGGCCCTGCAGCCCGCTCTGCACTGGGCAGGAGGTGACAGAGCACAGAGACAGCATCAATTCCGGGTGGGGGGACGTGGGGGTGGGCGCTGAGGTCTGCACAGCGCCAGCAGGAGGTGACACAGACAGCTGGGGGGCATGGAGAAGGGAGGGGAGCGAGGAGATGTTGAAACAGGACCATGGGAGAGGAGGAAATACAGAGACGGCCAAGGGGAGACCCTGTGCAGCTGGGGAGCAAAGAGGGGGAAGCAGGGGGGAGGCACAGAAGGAGCCAGCAGGGACCTGGAGAGGGCTTTAATGTCAGGGTGACACAGGGGTGGCGTGCAGACAAGAAGAGCCACGGGCACTTGAGACTGAAATGCAGCACACAGTGGAGTACAGAGCTGGCCGATGAGACACGTGGGGAAAAGCAAACCTCCCTCTGCCATCAGAGGGATCTGATGATGGCACATCACCTCCAGCAACACCTGCAGAAAGCAGCCTGGCTGCCGGCCCCACAGAAAGCAGCACAAGGCCAGCGCCTCAGAGATCCCGCACCCAAACCCCCTCAGCTCAGCGCTCCCATCCCCCAGCACTGCCTGAGCCGGGGCACAGGAGGGCCATCAGATCCCAGCACCGTGAGAACAGCATTCCTCACACCCAAGCCAGTCCTGTGAAGTTTTACCCCAAGCTGCTGTGCAAAACGCACCGCTGAGAGCCCTCCTGCTCCCAGAGGAAAACCAGTGCCCTGCTTGCTGCTGCAAAGCCCAAGAAGAGCAGCCTGCCTGCCAGGCCCTCTGCCTCCCCTTACATCTCCAGCTCAGGGCTCAGGTGCTGCTCTGGAGGCATGGATGCCATCACAGCCCTACACGAAGCCTTCTGGCCCAGCAGCACCCACCCGCTGCCACCTCTGCAGGCAGGGATTTGGTGACATGCAAAGCATGGAGGCTCAAAGGAAAGTGAAGGAGCTCGTGAGAAGCGCAGTGACAACTTCAGGCACTCAGAGCACCAGGAGAAGCAGGGAAGCTGTATTTTCTCTGGCAGAAGCTAAAAGGGATTTGGCAGCAGACTCCCAGCTCTGCAACGTGCTGCTGAAAGCGTGCAGGCTGCTACGAGCCGTACCCAAGCCGGTCCATCTACTTTCCTGCTTTTCTGGGCTCACCAGCAGGACCAGATGGATCTGCTCTGCCACAGAGCGATCCTCCTCAGGGTGCTGAGCCACCAACACCTTTCTATCACTGCTGGGGACTGGCAGCACGTGCTGTGGCAATGCACACCCCCAGCAGGAGCCCCAAACCTCCTCTCCAAACCTTGTGCTAAGGGAGAGTCGTGCAAGAGGGACGCAGCCCCTCCTCGGAGGCTGGAAATCTAAGGAAGCATCTGATGAAGTGCAGCAGGAGGAAGGAAGAGGGGATGGGAGGAGGTGAAACCACTGGCGTTCCTGAACCAGCAGGCGGGGTTTGCCTTGAGGCTCTGCCTGGGCTGAAAGCAAAGGTGCCCACACCTCTCCTTTCCCAACTGCCAAATCGCAGAGGGACCAAATTCAAGAAGTCAGGAGGCTTCGGGAGCCCGGCACTGAGACACAGCAGAGACAGAACAGAAACAGGAGGGTAAGGAGGCAGTTCCAGGAAACGAGGATGGGCTGTGACAGTGGAGTGGGACTGCAGCCTTCCCAGGGCAATGCTGTGCCCGCCTCACTGAGCCAAGCATCGCAGTTCCCTCCTTCGTGTGCCCACGGGATGGGAGCTCACAGCTGTTATCACCGCAGGTGAAGCGTCAGAACGACCGTCAGGATGGCGCCCAGGAAGAGGACAAAGGGAAGCCAGGTCTTCACAAATCCCCCTATGCTGCAAGACAAAAAGGAAAGGGAAAAAGGAGAGGATTTTAAGTCAGCAGAGGAATAAAGGAGGGACAAAAAGAAGCAACGACAGATGGAGAAATCGGAGGGAGACAAATCCTTATCACTGCTGCCATCGATGGGGATCACGTCCAAATCTTGATATGACACGGGGTCCCCAAAGAACTGTGCCATGAGCCACGGGGCTGAGCTCTGCCTGCAGCACTGATGCCACTCACAGTCCAGCAGTGTCACATCTGTGCAGTCACACAGTGCAGTGCCACTGCAGCCAGTCTCTCTGATGGGGCTGTTGGTGCACTCAGCTGGCACAGCAGGGAGCACAGCTGGAGCTGCTGTCTGAGAACAGGCTGGACCCAGCAGAAAGGCAGCAGTGCAAAAACGGCACGCAGGGCAGCTCTCACAGAACCTCCAGGCCCAAGGAGTTGAAATGGAGACCAAGTGCCCATCCTTTATAACAAGGAAAGCTCAGGATTTCCCTCTCCGCTCAAGTTGGAAATCAGACCAGTTCTAATGCAAACAAGATTCAAGAGGGAAAGGAAACCAGTGACCCTTGGAGACAAGCCATCCTGTGACCTTCTGTTCTGACCTACCCCAGCCAAAAGACAACATGAGGGAAGATCTGCTCGCATCTCCCAAATTCCTGGCACCCTGAATTATTTGTTAGAGGCAGAATTTTGGGAACAGCGTTCAGTGCAAGCCAGCAAACACTCCTGGTTCTTCCCCTAAGGAGCAGTAGCAGGCAGTGATGGCACAGGACCTCTCACCCGTGTGTTGGATGGAGGGGGAGAGATGCTCCTCCTTTCCCAAGGGAAAGGCTGAAGCTCTGAAGGGACAGAAGAATGAAAGAAGATTCGGCTGCCTGCTGAATCCTGTCTGCTCCTCGGCTCACCTTACGTACTTCCCATAGAGGAGCGAGAAGAAGCAGAGTTTGACCATGTTCCAGGAGGTGCTGTTGTCGTATCTCATCAAGTTTAAGGCCAGAGCCACGTGAGAATGGCAGTTATCACAGCAAAGGTTGTGCTGGAACACAGAAAGGAGCGTTAGAATCGCTGTCCTTGGGGCTCCCTGCTCCACGCTCTGCACAGCCCCCCACGCAGAGGGCAGCAACCAGAGCCGCTCGCAGGCCGCACCATTCGGTGCTTGTACTCCTCCGAGGCGTCGTGCACAGCCGTGTCCCACGCATTGGGGCTGCTGGAGTAAACTTTGCCAGGATCCAGCTTCCAGTACCTGCAAAGACAAGAACGGATCAGAGCCCTTCGCTGCTCCTTCTCAACAGGCTCACAAAGCCCAGGAGCCTCAACTCCACCCCACAGAACGGTGACGAGACGCAAGCGATGGCACTTTGTCAGCACAGCACAGGCTGCCATCACAACCTTTGGGTGTTTCAGCACTTACTTCACTGGCTTCCCAAACGCCATGTTGTCTTCCTGCAAGGAAAGGGAGAAGGCTCTCATGAGGACGATGCTGTGCTGCATTCGTGGCTCAACACCCCCACAAAGTGAAATCCCCCAGCAATCTCAGGATGCCAACACAACTGCAAAAGGATTTAGGCCCAAAATTCCCACAGACTACGAGGTTCTTTCCTCCTGCCCACAAACCAAACCAGCCTCTGTTTGCCTGATCCTCCCACGCTGCACCAACAACCCACAGAGCGATGGCAAAGATGAGAGACATCCAACAGCACTGCTGTGCACAACACAGGGGGTGGCTCAAAGCTCACTGAGATGCAGACCAAGCCCAGATTTTGGCTTAAGCACCAGGAGCCACCTTGTACTCACTGAGACAAAATACGGCCCCGCAAAGTCCCGAATGACTCCCGTCGACGTGCAGATGCCCATATGGCCAATGATGGGGAAAAGCCACCTACAGAGGGAAAGGGTGAAGCGTCAGGCTGAGAGTCTGCCCCCAAAGCACAGCACTGTGCTGCCAGGAGCGGCCACGCAACAGACAGCACGGGGCAGACAGGCAGGGTTGGTGCATGAGGCAGCCAGGAGGTGACAGCAGGGGAACCAGTGCCAGGTGGAGATGCAGGAGTGTGCAAACAGAGTAGGAGCACACAGGGGACACCTGGAGCCGTGCTGCCCTGACAAGCAGACCCAGGGTTGGCTCTTCCATAGGGCGCTCAGGCTCCGTGCTTTACCAGCTCTGTGTTCCCACGTAAAAGGGTCGCATCCAGAAGAAGCAGTCCTGGGATAAACCTGGACTTTTTGCTCTGACAAACAAGGGATAAAAAGGTCATCCTGCCCAGCTGCCACACTGCAGCCTTTCACTGCAAACCAGATGTTGGCACCGCAGGTAGGAAATGAGCTTCTTGGTGTTCCCTCATCCCTAAATGCTCCCCTTGTTTCAAAGGCTTCTCCTCGCCCCCACTACTCACAGAGAGCAGCAGGTCTGAATCCCAGCCCATCCATGGTCACAGTGTAACATCACCGTGCTGTCCCACAACTGCAGCCTTCCCAGCTCTGCTCACCTCTCCCATTCTCACTCATTTCCCCACACAAGGCTGTGCCCAGTAACATCTCAGATGGCATCGCAGCAAGGCTACACAGGAACAAACCACGGCTCAATAAGAGAGATCCTAAAGTGACCAAAACGAGGAGACAAACCACACGTGCTGATAAGCACAGCTGAGATAAACTGCACACAGCTCTCATCGATAACATCGCCCCACAGCACGGAGGATCTGCAATGTTCCACCTTCTGCACTCGTGCCACTTTTCCCTCTCCTCTGCCTTTCCCAGCACAAAGCAGACAGGCATTTCCCAGTCTGCACAGAGCAGGTTCTGTCAGCCAGGAGGAGCGCAGCGCTGTCACAGCACTGCCACCTTCAAAGGCGCAGACGTTCCTCCCTTTTGTTTCCCATTCTCCTCTCAGCGCTGCCTACCTTCCGAGCTTCCCAATCCGAGGATGACAGGAAATGTCAGAGGGAGACAATTGGAGCAATTATGCAATCTAAAGAGAGATTCTGCCAAACAACAACGCTGGGATTTCCGCTGCGGAACAAAACCGACAGGAAGATGCCACAGCTTCCCTGGGGAAGGAACCCACGGGCAGATACGGAGACCCGAAAGCGGGGCAGAGGAGCTCCGAGCGCCCGGCGGGGGAGGGGAGGAAAGGGGCAAGAAGGCGAAAGCGGCGTGAAATCCTCCAGCACTGGAAGCGCCGTTCCCGACCCGCTCCACGTCTTCCTCCCGCCCCGCAGCCCGGCCCAGCAGCGCTCCTCATTGGAGGGCGAGGCGGACGGGGAGCAGCCCTCGGCGCGGCCCGGAGCCGCACGGCGCGGCCTCGCCCGTTCCCGTGCCCCGTTGCCGCACGGCGGAGCGCAGCCGTCAGCCCCGGACCGCCAGGAGCCGCCGGCCCTCCCGCCCCGCACAGCGCATTGCCGCAACGACAGCCCCGGGCCGGCCCGCTGCTCCCGCTGCCGCTCCTGCCGCCCGGCCCCGCACTCACGTCAGCACGGGGATGGGCGTCCACACCACGCAGTACGGGAAGCGGCCGCGCTCCGCGTCCAGCCCAGCCCCGCCGCCGCCATTGAACTGCTTCATCTTTGCCTCCGCTTCCGCCATCACCTGGGCCCGCCCCCCCAGCCGGGCCGTCGTGGTGATGACGTCACTTCCTGGAGACCGCGGCGGCTTCCGGTTGCGGCTGGTAACCAGGAAGTGGGAGAGGCCCGGAGGCCGCGTGGGCGGGCGGGGCTCGGGGAGCGGCGGCGTTAGGAGGCGGGAGGGCGCGGGGCTTCGCTTCGCGGGCACGGGAAGCGATGGCCGCGGCGCTTTATCGCCCCTGACGCCTACCGTGTGCGGCCACAGGGCCCGCGGCCCTCCCGCTGTCCGTCCAGCCCTTGGCCGTCCCCTCTGGTACCTGGGAGAGAGCAGGAGGACGCGAGGAGTGACAGCATTTACAAATGAAGCAGCGGCTTACGAAAAATAACAATTGCTTTATTAGGAAGTTTAATTAAACTACAGGAAGGAGCCGAGAAGGAAGGTGTTCCGGGTTACCAGCCTCACGACGCAGAAGGAGAGGGCAGGGATGGGATGCTGTGCCGATGGGACGCGTCCAGGCCCCCCGCTCCTCTTCAGATCCTGCCCTGCTCCTCGTGGAAGCCGCTCATTTCCTCCTGTGGAGGTGCTGAGCTGCAGTTCCGTGGCTCCCAGGCCCAGCTGTGAGCTCAGGCAGAACGGTGTGAATAAAACTGCCTCCCCCCCATCCAGCACGTTGTCGTGTGCCTCCTCCGTGGAGGCACTGCGGAGCTGAGCACAGCGCTCACAGAGGAGCTGGTTTTTGTTACCCACAGCCCAGCGCCGGCAGCAAGCAGAGCCAGGTTCCCAGCAGTCATCATGAGGTCACGGCCTTCACATAACAGTCCCATTTTTTCTTGTAACCCCTCTCCTTCATCAAGTAATTCTCGCATCGCTACTTCATGCACTCTGCTTCCCAGCACCTGACTTAGCTCAAAAATTGAGCTGAGCCCAGCCTTTCACGTTTGTCAGCACATTCTCCCCAGCAGCAGCACTCCAGGGACAGAACAGCGCTTATGTGCTCACACCATTTTAGCTGAGTGAAGCTTTCAGCGTGAAAGCCCAAGAGCTCAGGATCCTCTACCCCAGGAGAGGCAATCAGGGGGCACCATTCAGGATCTGCCGCTGCAGCAGCAGAAAGCATTGGCTAACAGCCTGGTTGAGAGGCGGCCTTCCTGCCTTCCATACACACTAATGTCACACACGTACTCAGGCTTCAACTCAACTAGCTCAGTGGTGCACTGCAATCTACGTTTTCTCACCTCTACCAAGCCCTCAGGAGATCATCTACCATTAGTCCCCAGTCTAGAGCACATTTTGGAGCAGAGCTTTCCAGCAGGGAAGGCGTCAGCAGAGCCACCCACCCCAGTGCTTGCAGGGAACAGCTCAAGTCGAGCTGCAGTGCAGCACTGGCTCAGCATGACCTGTCACTGCATCAGAGCTGATCAAGGGCCTGAGCCCAGGCTCATAATCTCACGGTGAAGGGATTCACAAAACAGTCCAGGTCCAAAAGAGGGAAAGCAAAGGAGAAACAGACACAGCGGAGAGCAAAGCCACGCCTCGTGCTTTGGTTTCTGAAAGACGCTTCCTGTGTTGGCACTTTGGGTAGAAGATACACACGGAGGTTCTGTGTGTTCCTCTGAACGCCTTTTGTTCTACAAAGAAAAATATTGGCATTGATCTGCTCCAAGCTCACGTAAGTACCAGAGATTGCTGAAAGCCATGAAACGGGCCCAACATCCACATCAGCTATCGCGGCCTGGCACGTCTCTCAGGTCAGACAATGGATTTGCTCTTCCTGCTCGCGGCTCGCAGGCTGCTAAGCAGCGTATCACCACGGACCAGTTCTCTTGGCAGAGCCACACAGGAGGGACAGCACTGACAGCCTCCATGGGACGCCGCGTATCCGCACAGTGCTGCCGCACACCTTCCCTCCAGGCAGGGGCCGTCTCAGGCAGCCCGGTTTATTGCCTCTCAAACCAAATGCGGGAGGGCAAATCCAACGGCTGGAGCACAGAACGGCATTTTCCCCAGGCTGGATTTAAAAAAAAATAAAGAAAGAAAATCAATACATCACTCCTGTGCTGCACAGCTTTCTTTGTGCTCATCAGGCTAGCAGAAGGGCTCTCCATCCCCAGCACTGCACTGGCAGAAAATGGGTGAGCAGTAGCTGACAGCAGGGTCTTCCTAGTGACAACTGGAAAGCTGCTGCTGTTGTTCTGCTATTGATCTAAGCAGAATACAAAACACCTGAAGTCAGCAGGGAAAAATAGCTGCAGTTGGAAAAGAAACTGTAGGGGGGTGGGGAGCAGGGGTAGAGCAGGTAAGAAGTTTTCCATGCATAAAATTAACAGCCAGGCATTTTATTGCAGCTATCTTGCCCAGCTACAATAGTGGATTAACGTAGGGAGCAGGAACGCTGCCACCATTGTTTCTGCAGTCTCTCATTTGATGAGAAACAAAAGGTTTCACTCCCATTCCTGCCAGCAATTTGCCACCAGTGGCTCCTCTCCTGTTGTCAGCAAGGAAGCAGCTCTACCTCCTGTGGGCCCAAGATGTCCTCACGACAGCAATCTTTGCCTGCTTACTGCAGGCACCAGCGTGACACTCGCACCCTGGAGACACAGAGCATCCCTGAGAGCGTGGAAGGAGGAGCTCAGACCCCTCACCACCCTGGGCTCACCCCAGGGCACGCCATCACTGCCGCAGCCCGGCCCTGGCTTACCTCCCCTCTCTACCCTGGCTCATCTCTGAGCCTGAGAGAAGCAGGCACCCAGCCAGCTCTCGTTCAGCAAGCAGCTTCCTTGGGAACCTTCCCTGTTGTGACAGCTCAAACATTGCAGGGACTGCCAGGACCAAACCACTCAAGGAAGAGATCCCCTCCCCCTTCTGACATTGACAACCGCAGCAGCAGCAGGCGACACCGCGTGCAGGAGCCTATTTAAAATGTCACCCAGACACGGGCTGATGGAGGGCACCAAGGCGTCCTCCCCCCGCCCCGGAGGTGATGCTGGGGTGGGTTGCTCGGTGTTTTTGTTGTTCCTCTCCTGTGGTCTGTGCCTGCTGCAATTTGACAGTCTCTAATCGCTCAGCGTGAACCAGAAATGTCACTCTCATCTGTATTGATGATGGTGCTACTCACCAGCATGAGAACACACACAGCTTCAGCCACCCACCCCAAAAGCACTCCTCTAAGCCATCTCGCCCCTCAGCTTTAACCCTCAGGTCTTTTCTGCCTCCCTGTCACTTGAAAGCTGCATTTTCCTCCTCCCTCCCTCCCTCCCAGACGCAGCCAGTCTACAGGGCAACTTTCATGTTTAAAGGGAAAACCAGCAGCTTCTCAGGGACACAGGGTGGGAGAGCTCTAAGAGCCAAGCACAGGTCACAGTGATTTCTCAGCTGTGAAATCACAAAAAAAAAACCCTCACCTTTCCTCCTCACCTTCCCTAGAGGGGTCGCCCATCAGCCTCACCTCCTGCAGCAACAAGGCCTGAACAAGGCACAAGGAGCATAGCATGCAGAGGACTTAATGGCAGCAGGCAGTTCTCTGACATCCTGCTCCCATTTTGCTCAGAGACGAGAGCCATCTTGAGCCCTTTGCAGACTTGTTCCTGGCACTGCAAGCAGTCACAACACAACAGTGAGCTCATCCACACGGCCGCCGTTCCGCTCCCCCTCCAGCCCAATCTTCTGACTCGAGTTACAAATGAAACCCATTTTCTAGCTCCTTCTTGCCATTTCCACCCACAATTCAACCACACGGCTTCCCCTTCCATGCTTCCTCTTTGTCCAACCATTCAGGCCAAGAGCTGACCTAATTAGCTGATTGCCAATTCCAGCTGTGGATGCGCACTGCTTTGTTAGAGCAGAGCCAGCTTTTAAAGTCCTAATTTTTATCAGACAGGATTGGAAATGAAGAGGCCTGAAAAGGCCTTCAGCTGAAAGGTGTCTAACAGGAATGTCTGAGAGAAGAGTTCAAATGGATTCTGCAAATAGCAGACCGGCTCTCTAACTCAAGGCCCAGCACCACGCTCGGAGGGCAGGGAAGTATCTGGGAGGCTCTGCAGCAGGTGCTGAGTGCCAGATGCTTTGAAGCGTATTGCTCAAGTGCTCCAGAGACCAGCACTGCTGCACACAGCTGCGGGCGCCCCATCCCGAGGTGCTCAGGGCCACGGATGGGACGCAGGGCAGCCCGACCTGGTGCCTGATGCAGCAGCCAGCAGCCCTGCCCGCAGCAGGGGTTGGAACTGGATGATCCGCGAGGTCCCTTCCCAACCCAACCATGCTGTGATTTTGTTAATTTTATCCTCTACCCTGGCACGATTCCGAGAAAACAACTCCATTACACGGCCATTAGTCTTTCTGCGTGCATCACTTTCCCTTCCCCAGCACGTTCCAGGCAGCCCCTCTCACCCTCAGCCCAACATTCACAGCTTTCGTTCTAAACCACAGCGGGGAGAGGCTCTGCTCCCAGCACAGCGCTGGCTCTCACCCACAGTCTCAAGTCCCCACACCTGGCTGCAGAGCAGTGCTCACACAGCACCAACCCGCATTTCAGCCCCCCCAGCCCCCTCCTCAAATGAGTTTGCAGGGAGTTTTATCCTCCACCAGAACAGAACAGGATCCAGCCCAACCAGGCGCCCCTCCGCCCAGCCCCGTCCACCTCCACAGAGCAGAA